CAGGTATAGAAAAACAATACAATTTAACTGTTATTATTACACATGCTCTTATCATTACCTCTTCCTAATGACCTTCCTTTAATTTATAAGCCTATGAAATCTAGTCATACTCCATGGCACCCCAGAGATGAAGTCTGTTCCCTCATCTGTATAATAGGCCAATAGGTGTATGTTACATGCTACCATCTTCTTTTTCTTTCTAGATACAGCTTTATAAGATGCTACAAGATGTATAGACTAAGGAAGGCAGAGAAATTCAAGCAAGGCCATGCTATGTTGTCAGCTAGGCAATGCCCAGGTCAGAATGGCATTAAAAGAACTAATTCTAGAATCTACAGTGGCCTTCATCAGAAATCAAATATTCTGATAATTTCCAAATTTCCAGATGAGAAAAGACTGTCTAAACCATAATATGGAGTTTTTTCTCTTCAGATTCCCGCCATTATTGCATGGTTCTATATCAAAGCTCTCTGGAATCGCGTCAGCATTGCTTTTTCACAGATGTGGGAAATACACCTCCTCAGACATGTCCAAGGGCAAGAGTCGACATTTTCTCAGACTTGGTGAAGCTGTGGTATCCCTAAAATTAGCTTATTCACCTTTCTGGATCCTTTCCTCTTATTTGCCTGAAAATACTTCCTCTATTCCTCTATTTTTCTTGCCAGCACAGAGTAAAAAATGTTGGAGCTGTGATTGCTGTCTCCCTTCTCTTTTTTTCCTGCTGTTCTTCCAGAAGGTAATATGGAGAAAGGAACAAGAGAATCAGTTGTCAAGCAATCCCAGTTTTCTGCAGCTTTAAAGATGCTGAAAAGATTTCTATCCCCTTCCATCCTGTCCTTTCAGATACACCGTTTTAACACTAAAATGGCTGAACAGTAGTTGCAAACATAGTGCTCTAAAATCAAGCTTTTGCCTGCTTCTTCCCTATTTTAAAATTGTACTCCCATTGTCCAAAAGTAAAGCTTAAGCGCTGTAGGGAGAAAGTATAAGCCAGCTTACACCAGATACAGCAACTGAATTTAGGTCAAAATCAGAAGTTGTCAACCAGTCAGATCAGAGAAAGGTGAGAATACAGTACAGGAAACTCTAGTGAGCCATAGGCTGATCATGATAATGTTTCAGGTCTGAGGGATAACAATGCCAGCTGAAAGAATTAATATGGAACTGGCTGCTGTCACAGGATTGACTCCTTCGCCTCTAATCAAATTATTAAATTAGCAACTTCCTGCATTTGCTTAAAGAAAAAATCATTGGGAAGTTGCATTAATTATATCTCTTTTGGCACTGTATGTGTGTAACTCAGCAGCCTTTAAACTTTGACAGTGATGATAGGAATGAATAGATGATAGGAATAGCATTTTTCGTGCAACAGAAGACAATACATAATCATATAGTAATGGGGGCTTCAAACTATACTGACACTGTTGGAAGGAACTCTGTTAGGATTTAAATATCTAATATGTTTTGGACTCAGTTTGCTCACAGCTTCAGCTCCCAGCTGGAGAAAAGAACAAGGGATCGGCCAAAACTTAATCCTGACCAACTAGGATGAAGTGATTGATAAAGTGGAGTTATAAGCAATATGTTGGGAGAGAGGGAATGTCCATGCCATTTGGGAATTTATAATATTAATGGTAGATAAATTCCGTGGTTATTTGGAAATCTGATTTTTAGAAGTTCAGGGAAAAAAGCCATAAAGCATCCATGATTCCAAATTCAATAGAAAAAAAAACCAATTTTAAGGATTCAAATACTTGTAGTATAATCAAGAATTAGTACAGGTGGAAAGGGAAAAAACTGGTGTAGCTCTATCAAGGGCTCATTAATAAAAAGACTTTTTAAAAAACAGATAGAAATATTACTAAAGAGAAAATGGATTATTCAAAACATAATGGTAGGAAAGTTTAGCTGAGGCTTGTTTAGGAATGCTAAAAATGGCTTTCTTTGATCACTTTCAGAGCAAGAAGATGATCAAGGAGAGGATAGGTCTCCTACTTAGGGAAAGGAAACGAAAAAGTGGGATTATTTAAAAGAACCTGAGACAGACAGACACACACACACATACACACAAACACAAAGACATATGTGGACTTGGGGCTCAAGGCACAGAAGTAAATGGCTAGAAAACATCCATCTACCTTAATTAAATAAAAGTCACCCGAGGTTCAAATTATACCCAAAGGGTTGAGGAAATTAATTTAGATTAATTTAAATAATTTAAATTTCCTGATGTTGAATGCTGTTCACCAAGAAAACAGATATTTTCCCTAAATAAGAGGTATTTTATATAGATTTTATTAAAAGAGAACATGAACATTAGCCCAAACTAATTCAGAACTAAGAGAAAGGGAAAAAAGAAAGAACAAATTTAAAAAAATTAGATGTTTCTAATTTTCTTTGCATCAAATATAGGTAAGATTACAAAGATCTCTTAGTCTAGGATTAAAAGAAAAGCTCACTTTTTCCTAATGATCACAACCACAAATCTTTTTTCCCCTAATCATCATAAGTGCATTTTTTCTGTTTTATGAAAAAGGTCTATATGGGTTCCAGTCAGCCATATTTTTTTTTTCTCTAATCAGGGTGAATTTATCTATCTACTCAAGTTCCACCACCTTCACAAGCTATTTCTCCATTGCGGGTAGTGTCAAACCTTTCCATTTTTCTAGCCAAATCTCTAGCCAATTTTATCGTTCATTTTTCCCTTGTTCTTCTGTCTCATATTTCAACAAAGGTTTATACATTTTGACAGATTGACAGATTCGTTATTATTATACAATTCTATTTAAAACTTGGTCTTACTTTCTTCCAAACCATAAAATCTTTTATCCACTTTAAACTTTTTTGTTAATTGTACATAAGAAAACCATTGACAAGAGTATCCTTCTGTTATCAAATCTTCTCTTGATTTCATTTTACAATCCCATTGAGAAAATTCTAATGCTTCATAATAAATTAATTACTTAACGTTTGTTTATTATTTTCTGCCCATAAAATGCTTCTTGTGCTAAAAGCCACAAAGGTGTTTTCAGGAAAATCTAAGTTTATATTTATTCCGTATTCTAAGAATAGTCTGCCTGACACATTGATTTTTAAAATCTACATTTATATTAATTTTATTAAACCATAGATAACCATGCCATCTAAATCTCAAAATTGTGAGCTTCAAACTCCAATAGCCGCCTATCTCTTACAATACCCACTCTTTCATCCAAACCTAACAGCAGGCAGCAAAATATAGTTTCATATCTGATAAGCCCAATCCTCTTTATTTTGTGTCTTGTAATATTTCATATTTAACTTGGGGTTTTCTCCCTAAATAAGAGGTTTTGTAGTAAATCTGGATGGCAGTGTGTTAGAGATCCTGTTGCATTCTGTGTAGGAAAACTGAAGGATTTTCTGTATTCAAACAAACTTCTCAGGTTACTTTAGTTCTTGCAATAAAAGTGTTAGTTTATTTCTTAATTATATTTGCACAATATTTTTGTACACATATAGACCTTTCACATTTTAAACAATTTATACAAAACTGAATGAAAAAATATGAAACACATCATATCCTTTTTCATTTGGGCGGGGAAGAAAGGTTTGAAAGGTTTTTTTTAAAAAGCAGCACTATATTTTTTTCTAAATTCTCCCCATTGTTTTCCACTTCTTAGACTGGAGAAACCAACAAAAATTAATTTCACATTATATTGTATTATTGGATTAGATTGTTATATATACAGCAAGTATGGTTGTAAAATTTTAAATTTATCACATGCCATGGGATCTGGAAGGTCTTTTCTTGTAGTCCCAATCTGTTTTTACTTGGTAGGCTCAACCAGAGATGTCACCAAACCTAAAAAAGGATAAGGTAGAGCTAGAAAAGATACAGAAAAGGATAACAGAAATTATTAAGGCAAATGGGAAAGGCTTACAACAATCTTCTCCAATCAGGTTACCTTTCAGATATGTGATTTTAGTTTGACATCACTACAATATTGGGGATAATCTTACCTGTAAACCTGGAATAACTATATCTCCAATCCTCCAAAGGGAATTGTCGGTATATATAATTTTGATGGAGTGGAATAGGCCATTGTTGGATGAGGTCTATATTGTTAACACATATCTATTCTATATCCATGTTTATTCTTTCTAACCAACAGAACATTAGAAAGAAATTACGTACAAAGGATTAGAGCTATGTCTATGTGTCATCAGGATATCTCTCCAAAAATAGAATGGGACCAAATTTGATGTGGGAGAGAAGCTAGTCAGAACAAAACAGAGTTTGAAAATGGACTCCATTTCACCTGCAAAGAAAAAACAAAACAAGGGAGGCAGAGGGGCAGCAACTTGTGACAGTATTGACTGCCTTGTTCTTCAGCCCCCCCCCCCATCTTCTGGTCACATAACCCATGGTATTGCTATTAAGCAATTGGAAAGAATTCCAGAAGGCACGCCCTGCATGCTTTCTCTGCCTTCTTATTCTGAGAGTCATTTCAAAGTCTACTATTAATGCCCATATTTCATTCATCTCCTCAGTATTATTGTCAAACCTGTTGCAAGGGGGAGCCCATCCAGTTGCTTGGAGCACCAAGTTAAGTAGAGGGGCAAATATTGAAAAAGATGAATTTTAAAGAAAAATACAAATACGTTTTGTAGAAAGGAGGTGCTGATTTCATGACATGTCTAGAGTGTCAGTTCCCTTCACCTGTGCATTTCCTAAATGGGGAATGGATAAAAGATAATAACTTGCAGAAACCTCTCCACTGGCCAAGAAAATCCTTGCTAAAATGTATTAATATGCAACCTGTTGGAGACCTTTTATTGATAATTAAAAGACCTTTTCTATAAACTCTGTTGAAGTTGCTTTTAAACTTATGCAGTGTGACAATCTCTGTGTCTGTTCTTTTTCTCTGCTTTAAAACAGTTCAGGAAAAGCAAGGTTTAATACATTCTACAACACTCACTACAATGCTAGTAAATATGTGGACCCTTTTTTCTTTATTGGTTTAGTTCCTGATATAAAAGATCCCATTGACATCTCCATGCTGTCCATTGACATGGAAAACAAGGAAAATGGATCGCTGGACAAAGAAAAGTAAGTGGTCCTCCTAAATGTTGCATATTGATTGACTGAGCTGATGTTTAATTCTTCTGGGTAGCAAAAATGGTATAGAGCTGTAGTTTTATCTTGAAAGATCGTTAAAATGTTATTTTGCTAACTTCACAATATAGCCAGTACAAGAGGAGGTTGTTCTGACTTTGAAATTTTTGTCGGACTAGGGATATCATGTCTGAAGCATATATCTGATTTAAAGTATTTTATATCAGCACTGTCTAGGCCAGGGGTAGGCAACCTCGGCTCTTTTATGACTCATGGACTTCAACTCCCAGAATTCCTGAGTCAGCATAGCATAGCATAGTTGAAGTCCATGAGTCATAAAAGAGCCGAGGTTGCCTACCCCTGGTCTAGGCTCACTTGTAATCCTAATCAGTTTCTCACCTTTGAAGATGTATGGATTTCAGTTACCAGAATTCCTCAGCTAGCATGCTGGCTGGGGAATTGGAGGAGTTGAAGTCCCCACATCTTCAAGTTGCCAAAGTTGAGAAACACTGTTCCAAGTGTTTAAAGAGCCTGTTTACTACTAAGGGGCTTCACGGAGGGTATCAGCAGCAGTTATAAAACAAAAAGGTTAATGGAGTAGTTCATGCTGATTACCTGCCACTTAAGAACATGCAAGGCTTGCTATGAGCCTACCAAGTTCCCTCTAGGTGACTAATAATGACATCACTCAAGTTTCTTTCTCTAAGCCAGGGTGTCAAACTGGCAGCTCGCGGGCCGGATGCGTCACGTGCAGGCCACGCCCACCCCGGCTCCGCAAAGGCAAAAAACGTCGCAATACATCTCGTGACGCGATCGAGTTTGACACCCGTGCTCTAAGCTGTTGCCAGTCCTCAAGTAACAACAATCCTCTCACCACCTCCTCACACAAAAGGGAAATAAAAGGTAGTTCCTAATATCCTGCCCCATCTGTATTTTTAATTCACATTGTATGCATTTGTTTCTTTCTTTGCAAACTCAATCAAACAAAACCTAGTGGTGGTTGTAAGTGGGGGGGGGGGAATGTCTGATTCCAGAGCTGGCATTCCTCCTGCTGCTAAAGGCCTTTTGGAAGCTGTGAGGACGAAAGGAGAGAATTTTGGCAATTTTGCCATCATTTGCTCTCTTGAATAGTTATAACTATTATAATAGTTATAATAGTTATAAGAAGAGGCCTTTCTCCATTTGTATCTGTTTTTTTCTGATATGTTCCCATAACAGAGGAACCTATTATGGTGTGAAAGTGGTCATTTTCCGACAAGCATCCAATGACCATCTCAGTGTTTTAAACCTGTTATGAATTCTCATTAATTTATAAATATAATCAGGTGACTGCTAGTGGGTGGGAGCAAAGTGTGGCCAGTTTCCCTTTATTTGGGTACACTCCTCACTGGCCTTGATCTGGCTCATTGGCCACCATTTCGCTGTGGTTTCTCTAAGGTGCCAAATATAGCAGTGCAGTCGTAGTGATATGTCAAAATTGTTCAGTAACACAAGGCTACTTAGTCAGCAGTACAGGAAGAGCATACCTGTTCAACAGTGAAATAATGGAATGATAGGATCAACTCCACTTTCACCTTCCATTGCCTGCAGAAAAATGTGCGGAGAAAGCTAGAAGTCAGCATTTGTTGTCTACATAAAGAAAAGGAGGGGGGGGGGCTAAGAAAAGGTAACTCAGTTTGAAGTAATAGAGGAGCAGTTTAAAAAAAAAATCAAATAATGACAACACAAGGTATAGGAAAAAGGAGCACAGGAAGTCACCTAGACACGACAACTAGACATATCCCATTCTTGTTTATAGCCCCATGCTTTGCAACTATGTTTCTGCCAGCTTGTGAGATGCATAAAATAAGGGGTGACAAAACTGGGTGATTCATCCTAGCATTTTGCTTATCATGTGCTGCAAGAATGTATACAATCAGCACCCCCACTAATCGGCAGTGAATCAGAACAGATGCAAATAGAGGCAGGACAGAAACTGGCAACAGGCAGCAGGTGTCATGACAGTATAGGTTTCTGCTAATTCAAGGACGGCAGAGAGCATTTACTATTGGATTAAAGGAAAGAAAGGCCCAGTTACAGGTAGACCTAGAGCAGGGGTAAGCAACCTTGGCTCTTTTATGACTCGTGGACTTCAACTCCCAGAATTCCTGAGCCAGCCATGCTGGCACTTTTGCGACTTTCTTACAAGCCAAGTCAATAGGGAAGCCTGATTCACTTAACAACTGTAGCAAGAAAGGTTGTAAAGCGGGACAAAATTCACTTAACAAATGTTTGGTTTTTGGGCTCAATTGTAGTTGTAAGCCGAGGGCTACCTCATATTCGTTACAAGAACAAAATGTTGAAATTCTGATTTGGATGGTGAAAACAGATAAAGAGTACTGATCACCCCAGTACCCGAAGGGCAAGAATTCTTATCAATTGAAAGAACATCCACAAGCTCAGCAGTGTTGCAAGAAAACATTAGCTACTGTAGAGTGTCATATAAATTGCAGTACCAGCCCCATTGCGAAAGCAAAAATTCAGTTGTCAAAATTTGTTAAATTAAATAAATACATTTTCACATATCTAAAATAACAAGGAATGAAAATAATTTCATGATTGTCTCAATTGGTGACATGTTTTGTGTACTGTAATAAAAAACCTCCAACCTCTGAACTATGTAAAAGGGATTTTTTTTTTAAAAAGGTGCATATCCCCTTCCCCCCCCCCCCAATATCTTTTTTTCTTCATACCATGTGCATAATATCCAGTCAAGCAAGAGAAAAATCCAAGCAGTGCCTGAGGCAGGGAATTGAAACAATCAAGTGGTCTTTCCCCTTGAAAGATACTAGGTGACAGGGTAAACAACATAAATTCAGCTCTTCAACTTTTGTCCATTCTGCCCAATATATTTGATTTATCAAGCAGGTGAAAACTGAATTAAGAGTTCATGGCCTCCTTTAGGTGTATTTTAAACTGCCCACCAGTAGGTGTCACTGATGCAACAAAGAAGCACAAGGTGGAAATGTGAGCCTGTATTCAACTGTATGATTCTTGAATGGAATCTCAAATTACATACACACATTTTCAGGTTACCTCCCATGTATATTCACAATACTGTGTGGAGTTAAGATTTAGTTTCTGTTACAGAGATACCATGCAGGTTCATTTTAGATTTTATTTTACAACTAATTAGGGGACAACTAGCATTATTGCACTGTTATTCAAAAACAGAGCTTGTTTAATCTTTACACTTATAATTAAAGTTCTCTATATTTTTAATTTTGTATAGTATTGGCAGAACTAACCCTCATCCTAAAAACTAGTGATTTGGTTGGATTCAAAATCTGGTACATTTTCTCAAAATGTAGATAAACAATTGAATTAAATTAGACCAATCACCAAGTAAATAGACACAACCCAAGGCATACATTTAAGTAGAATTTGATTATCTAATTATTATGTTATTCTCGAAGGGGAGGACTTTGGATATTCCTAGCAATGTCAAATCACATTGTACTAAGAAGTTTGGATAAAGTTCAGTAAATTAAGAGTACTATTCCACCAGCACTATACAAGGTCTTTTTATAAAGTTAGTCTACTGAGTTTCATACTTCTAAAATAGCCTGATGTAACCAGATGTTCTCTGGATGTGTAGGATTTCAATTCCTACCGTATTATCGCTAACTTCTGGCTATGTTGGCTTCAAAGTGGTAGGTACTACATTGGATGCGGTGGTTGTAAGACCATTGAAAGAATTGGGTTTTAGCATCCAAGCTTGTGTGAACCAAATTAGCATAGGACTACACTGATACGCTTTTTACCTACAGAATCTGCATGGATCAATTTTAGATTAGCAGAGAGCTGACATGCAAATGATGCGCAAACTACACATCTGGAATTGGGCAATTGCTATTATCATGCATGCTTGTGCTAGCACATTCCTGTTTGAAGACTTATAAGATGTGCTTTGTGGGCTTTCTTCCACTTCCTGTTGCAATAGATATTTAAAAAGATGGTTGAACACAATAGCAGGGAAAGGGCAAATAGTAAAAAGGGGGAGGAAACTGCCCTGGGTATGTGTGTAAGCAGATGTGTTTGCTTCTATAGGGATAACAGAATACATAACTGCAGAAGTCAAGTGTTGAGAGTAAGACGTCTTACATATCACTTTGCTGACAATTCTGAAAACCATTTCCTTTGAAAAATTAATTTTATTAAAAATTATACAGCAATTGCAATAGTAGAAACTAATACAAACTAAAAGAAAGAAAAAGAGTAGAAAAAGTTTTTTAAAAAGTGCAAAGGTGATTTCTATTTTGCTTGTTCTGCAACTAGCTTCCAACAGATAGAGACAATGGAGAAGCTGTCAATAAAAACATAAATGTCTCACCTAACAACCAAATGGAAAGTGACATCTTAAGTCTATCACAGTCACATGATGTTTGGCTTAACAACTGTGTTGCTGTGAACTCAGTTGGAATATACTTGATTGTCTGTCACAGAGTCTGTCACATCCATCCCTGCTCTGAATCATGCAGACATTGGAGGAAATATCCTGGACTTAAATTGGTGAAGGTCAATCCTCAGTCTGTTTTGGAGGTAGGAATAGTGCAGTTAGTCCTGCCCAGATTAATACTAAACTTTATTCAGAGCTCTTAGTTTATTAGGTTGTTTAGTCTGCATAAGACTGCATTATTGAGGGAAAGTAATAATAAAAGGGCTTTCTGGCATTTACAATAAAGATAGTGTGTGTGCCTAATGCTATAGACTCCTTATTAGTCCATGCTTTTTTGACAATATCCAAATATTATTAGATAATGTGGATAATTAATTTGCTAGCAAGTGGTATGCATAGTGAAAGAGAAAGCAGATTTGGAATAGGAAGTGCCAGATTCAAGTCTTAATTCAAATAAGAAGATCACTACATGACTTTGGCAGAGTTATAAACGACAGTGCACCCAAACATTTGGCATTTACTGTTGCTTAATGGACAGACAAAGTTTATCTTCGTTCAGTTCAGGGCAAGGAAGTCCTAACATGAAGCCTGTTCTAAGATACAATTTTTCACTTCATGCTTATAGGATTAAAATTATATGTATTTTCTACCACAATATACATTGTGTGTGTGAATGTACGTGTGTCTGATGGTTTAAGTGCTAGATTTGGAATAAGCCAGGCTCAAAATCTTAGTTAGCCCTAATATTTCTGCCTGGAGATTTTATGCCATCTCTCTTCCCAACTTGCATGATAGTTCATTGTGCCTAAAAAGGATCTGGAAGGACACTCCAGAAGAAATATCTTTACAAGGCAGTTTTTTGGAGGGTGCTACAAGGTAGCAGTAGACCAGTGGTGAAAGTAGGCCATGTGTTACCTTCACACATGCTAACTGGGGAGATAGGAATTTGGTCCAACAGATACCAAACTGACAATGACTGTTTAGGCTTATGAGGAGCTAGGATTCAGAATGGACTCATAGACTTATAGAGGTGGTTGTTTAAAAGGTCTTTATATCAACAAGCAAGATAGGTTCCTTACCCGGATGGTTTTCTTTTTCTTGAGGGAGCAATTGAGTAGCGTATGTGCTACTTTGTACGTCCATGCCAAAGATTCATTTTTGTTTGAATTTCTTAAAACTCCATAGCTTGGTAGAGAATGGAAGACCTCCTGATCCGGCTGACTGGGCAGTTACAGATGTGGTGAATTATTTCAGAACAGTGGGCTTTGAAGAACAAGCAAATGCTTTTCAAGAACAGGTAAATCTGTTTGCACAAAGCTTTTTACTTTTAATTTCCAGCTTGGGAGATTTCAGAGTAGAGACCATGACAGGCAAATACTTGATATTGCAAAGACCTGGGTTCATATCTCCTCTTAACACCGAGTCACCTTGGATCAGTTGTATTAAGACCAATGTACCCCACAGGTTTGTTGTGAGAGTAAAGTGAAAGACACCCCCACGTACACCTGTACTCTGCTTCGAGCTCATAAATGAAAAGTGCAGTAATGCAATAAGTAAATAAAATAAGCACTCAATGAATGCAGTTAGGAGTGAGTTGGTTGGCACTTTAAAATTGAGCTACATGATAGAAAATGAGTATGGGAATGTCAATCACCTACACAACATTACCAGGACGATGCCTGTACCCTTCCAGTCCCTTGATAGACTTGCTTAGGTTGGCACCAACACATCTCAAATGAATGAAAGGGAGGAGGTGACAGGTTTTTCACAGTGACACCTACATACAAGTAGTCTTTGGCTTATGATTGATCATTTAGTGACAGTTCAAATTTATGACAGATTCCCTAAAGATACTTACCAACTCAGTTCTAAAATTCCAACAGCCAGTGGGGGGGGGGGTGCAGTCACATGACCAAATTATGGGTGCTTGACAACCAGCTCACATTTATGGCTGTTTGTAGTATCCCGAGGCCATGTGACTACAATTTACAATGTTTTTGCTGAAGAACATTGTTTGCTTCAGTTTTTGGCACAAGCACGCCATAGTGAATAATAATGAATTTGCTTAATGACTGCTGCAAAAAAAAAATCATGAAATTCAATTGGTCATCATGTTGATGATCTGCTTTATGACTGTCATGACTTAGGACCATAATGTGCAGGCTCCATTATGGTTGTAAGTAAGGACTACCTGTAATTGTCACTAGGTGCTACGACTGTCTAATGAAAAGCTGCTAATCCAGCAGCGTTTATTTATTCCTCAGTACTCGTTATTAACTGAGTGCTCTTTTTAAGTACGCTTCAGATTTAACTGCTAAAGAAACTCAGCAGGGAAAACAGTAGGAGAAGTAATTGAACTGACTTTTGAAACAGGATTTTAAAGCCATAGGGAAACTGTATATTTGATGCTATATGCTAAGTTGTCACGTACTTTGTCCATGTTTTGGAAAGGATTCCTTTTAACTCCTTGATAGGACTCTGGTTTTGCACAGGATTGCACAATGGTGGCGGTAGGGCCACTAACCGTAAGGAAAATGGTGCTTATAAGTACATAAATGGAGAAAACATCAATTTCAGAGATAATGAATATCGAGATAACTTTAAAAGAAACAAAAATTCTTTTCATCTCGATAAATTGTTGTCCTGTGATACCAACTTTCCAAAGATAAGGAACTGTAGATGTTTCAACCACACCTTCAGTTCTTAGATGTTTCATATGTCCTTCTTTTCCTTTCTTGTCTTGTACACATTATTACAGGAGTCACTTTTCTATCATATCATCTGCTGCTGCTGCAGTACCATTTAAAAGGATGGTTTGGCATGACTAGAGTCTATTGCATGAGTCATTCTCCTCCCCAGATATTGGGGGAGGGAGGAGATGCAATGAAGATTAAAAAAAGAGAGAGGACTTTGATTGAGTCATCTTAATTTCTTTGAGAACAACAAATATGCACACACACACACAAACACACACACACACACGACAGTGAATCATGGCCTTCATTTTTTGGCTTTGTGATCAGTTCCAGGCATAGGATTCTAATATTTCATCAGCTTCTGCAGTGCTGGATTAAAACAAACAATTGAAAATCATGCTTGCTAATGACTGCACTACCCCCATTTTGTACTTGTGGGTATCCTTACTTTCAGTTCAGTTCAATCCCTGCTTTTTTGTAGCATGTCATAAATTGAAGGAAGTTCAGCATCTGCCATTCCATTTAAAAATTGTCATGAAAGACATTGTTTGTGTAAAGGACAGCTTTTTAAAAACAGCACCTTTTAAAGCAAGACTTTTATGTTATTTATTACATTTCTAATCCACCTTTCCTACAGGAGCTCAAGGCGGTATACATACTGTTCCCACCTCCTGTTTTTTCTCCACAACGCTCCTGTCAGGTAGATTAGGCAGATAGAGAATGGCTGGCCCAAAGGCAGTGAACATCCATGGCTGAAATTGGACTAGAATCTGGGACTCCTGGCTCATCCAACCCATCTCACCTGGTCAGGCAGGAGCTTCTTGTTGCAGAATTCATTAGTTAAAGAATTATAAAGATGGAGTCTATGGAGCATCTTGTCCCATGAGGTGAGGTTGCCGCCCCCCGCTTTGCTGGGTTTTCAGAAGCACTAAGACTTAGCTCTCTCAACTGGCATGAAGATCCAAAAAAAAGACACAATTCGTGTGGGGTGTTGTCTTTTTTTAACTTTTTTATTTTTGTATGTTTTTTTATGTGGATTTTATTATTTTTTACTTGTAAATGCCTTCACCACTTTACCATACTGACTCTGAGGATTTTCTTTTGCAAAACAGGTCAGTGAAGTTTCAAATGTGTACTGCCCGACTTACGTTATTGGGGTTGAGCATATCTGGGGTACCTCTCTTGCAGTAATTAAATCACTCATGTCTTCTGTGATTGACAAAAAAAATCCAATTTTTAATAAAGTGTTACTTCTTATATTGGAATTCTTTTGAAAATTATAATATCCATTTTTTAATTTTTTTAAAAAAAGTTTAAATTAAATTAAATTTCAACTGACATAATTTAGGGCATATTATTCAGAGAACTGAAGAAGCTTCTTGGATGAGAAGCAAAATGTTTTCAAGGAAAAAAAACCAAGAAAGTCCAGTTGCCTTTTGTAAAAGCACCTTTGGGACAACCATGACTTGGACGATTGAGAATCTCCATAGACATGAGATCATAGAGTTCTTGCAATAAATTTGGCTATTAGAATTACATAAAATGTGGAGGCCATTACGTACCTTTAGGGGTGACAAGGCTGATGTGGGTAGGCACTGTGATCTGCTGTCCACTAAACTGGTTAAAGTAAATATCTCTGAGGACAAATATTCACATTCCACTAGAAACAGGCTTGGAAAGCGTGACGCTCATCTTGCTAAAACGGCACTTGAAAGAGGTTATCTAGGAAATGGGATCAAGAGATATAAATTGTTTTTGTGCTTAATTATTTTGTTTTCTTTAGACGTCATTTAATTTTTAAATACACAGGCAGATAAAGTTATTCATTTAAATATAAAGAGAAAATCAGCAAAGGGAAAGGTTTTTACACAAAATGGAAATATAAGCCAATTAAAAAAAAACAGGCAAAAACTATTTATACCTGAAATATTCCTTTCAGTTAATATCTGTGCCCCATTCAACTCCAGATTTTCATGCCAATGTAAAAAAGAGACTGTGGAGATGAAATTTCAAATTTTGATTAAGATGATCTGAAGATGTGCCATTCCCTAAAATTACCAAGTCATTTACCAGAATGCTGTACCTCTGCTTGATATCTACCCCTTTGTAGGTTTTGGTAATAAGCTGGGCTGAATTTGTGAAATAATATGGATCTTTCCATATCTTGTATTTGATTTGCCTTTAAGATAAATTGAAGCCACCCCAGAGCCAATGGGGCTGCGGTATGCAAATGAACAAAATCTAACCGTTATTTAGCTTATCTAGTGATGATGTCACAATCTTTTACAGGGAACTGTTTGAATAATTTTGAAATCAACAGTTTCCTTCTTTTTAGCCGATTGGTTATTACCCCAGTTAAGGTTACTAAAATCCCTGCCATGATACTACATGTAGAAATATCACATATTTAACAGTATTATGGGTCAGGGGTTTCTGAGTGTGTGTTTCTTTTGTTTGCTTTCAAATGTATTTTACACTTCAACTGTGAGACTGATAGAGCTCCAAAAAGGCCACTAGACTTTGTCCGTTTACTTGCCTCAGACCTGCCTGTTGTTATAAATATTTGAAGAAGATGGTAAATTATTATGAGGTTTTAGGAGTATCAAGAACTGCATCTGCCGATGATATTAAAAAGGCCTACCGACAGTTGGCCTTAAAAGTACATCCTGATAAGAATCCAGGAAACCAAGAAGCGGCTGAAAAGAAATTTGTAGAAATCTCTAAAGCCTATGAAGTCTTATCTGATACTAAAAAACGAGACGACTACGACCGATGCAGCAAAAAGAAGTTAAATGAAAAAAAACCTGCAAGAAGACAAGGTAGAGCTGGCAATGTGCAGAGAAGTGGCCATGGGGATAAAGGGTGTGGGAGAAGGCAGGTGGACCCTGAATTCAGCTTCTTCGGACCACACCTGAACATACAGATGGGTATGGATTCCTTTTCTCAAGATATCTTTGACAATCTGTTTGAAGACTTTTCTGGGCTTCAGCTAAATCCCCGCAGAAGTAGAAGCAAAACTGACAGGAGCTTTTCGGTCTCTATCACGGGCGTCTCCCCGATTGCAGGAACTGGTTTCACTTCCTTTGGATCTAACATCCCAGGGGGCTCCTCCTGCTCCTCCATCACATCTCTAAACAGGGGCAAAAATGGCAAATTCCGCTCCATCATCACAACCAGCAAAATTGTGGATGGCAAGAAAATCATTACAAAGAGAACGATAGTGAATGGCAAAGAAAGTGTTGAAAAAGAAGAAGAACCCATCGGTCACTGAAGTGTTTTCAGCCTATTCCAGGTAAGGACAGCTGCTGTGCTGGAAATTATTTTAAAACATATCCTATATTTTGCATGTGGGTAAATTAACATACATTCTTCCCAGGATCTGGGGCACTGGCTTATTGTGGCGTACATATACACTAACCCTTGAGATCTTTGCTGGTCAGCCTTTAGAACAGTCTTTTTCAAACTTGATGACTTTTAAGATGTCTGGACTACATGAAATGTTGTGACTGATCAATCAATCTACTTTTATTTCGGCCCGAGACCAGGATAAGGATGGTGGAGTACAGAAACTTTAAAAGGAAAAAAAAATACAGTAATAAAATTAAAACCCTAAAAGCTAGAAAATACAAAAGCAAAAATCTAAAAAGTATAAAAATAAAAACAACAAATAATCTATTATAAAGTGTGAAAGCTAATTAAAGTGGTTGAGTACTAGGTAGC